ATCCAAATCCATCCTTTTTAGGTTAGGCTACCAGCTACGTTAGCTCTAAGTGTTTGGTTGAGGTGGTGATGTGCAAGCTCTAAGGCAAGGACAAAACACCCGAGAGGCGTGGTAAGAGCAGATGTTGTTTTCAGGGCACGCCGCGGGTTTATGATGAGAAAGTGAAGCGAGCCTCGCGCAGGGTTTGCTGCTTGTGCCTGGATGTCACGTGGCTGCTGATGCACCCCAGCAGGAAATATGAAGTGCAACATTGACTTGCTTTGGTATCTACTGCAAACCCACAAAATAGCGTCCTCTGAGTCTTGCAAGTCTCAGGCTGGGCTAAGATCAGCCACTTGTGTATAGTTTTTTAAAATTATTTTTTAGTTATGTTTTACACTGAAGAAATTGGGATGCTTCAGCTTGCACAGTGCTAGGAAGCTGAGAAACCTGCCAAAGTGACCTCACTCCCTCGATTACCTGCATTTGCAGTTTTATCCTTAGCTTAAGCGTAGATGTATAGGGCTGAAACGCTTCCCTTTGGAAGAGCATCAACAAACGATACTAGAGTTGTGCTTGTTGCAAGTATCTATCCAAAAACCAAGTTTTGGAGCCCATTTTGCAGCTTTTGGAACAGGCATGATAAATGATTTTTCAGTAATGGCAAGCTAGCAGTTACCAGCGACTATGAAGTAAAAGTGACAAGTCTCATTCAGACTAACTTGCCCTTTTTTTCGCACCTTCCTTTCTGGCGTTGGAATATAGAGCCAGACTCTTTATGATAATACTATTTTACTAATTAATCTAATTAAGTGGTGTATGTAATTTTGCAGAGTAGAGCAAGCTATTCACAATTGTCATCATTAGGTTAAAGAGCTGACAATTGATGGGGATAATTTTTTCTTAACAGGCTGTAACCTTTCCCAAGCAACCCCTCCTCCCCCAGGGGAGTTCTTCAATTAAATCAATAACGCTTCTAGGGAGAAAGAAGAACTTTGCTTTTGCAAAATCAAGTAAACAGATCTTCAGTAGCTTCTCATTGCTTCGCTGGAGAAGAAAAGCTGCAGCTGGTTATTAATACCTGCTGTGCTTTGCTTTGACAAGCTTGTAGTTAAGAATAGCAAGTACTGTCTAGTGAGATGCACTACAGGTTGAGAGGTAGGGTGTTTGAAGGTAACAAGTGGGCTCTGGAGAAACCTCAGCAAGATAATACAGTATTTGGATCGGGCAAATGACTGTGCTTGGAGTGGGTTCTAGGGAGGCTGGGGAAAGGTGATTTAAACTGCTGGTATATTCGTTATCGTTAGGATACAAGAAAGCCTGACTATAGGAACATAAAAGTAAGTTGAGCAAGAGGTAGGGCAAGCTTGCCATAGCCTTAAAGCTTTGATGACTAGGACATGGAAGGAGTTATTTGGCATTTTTAATAAGGTTGGCAAAGGCCGTTGTTTTGCCTACAGGAGGGTGCGTGCTGGGGTCTTGGTCCCGGGGAGCTCACAGGTGCCCGTGTCCCTGCCAAGGGAAGCCCCTCAGCACGTAGCAGTCACCGGTGCTTTACGTCCCAGATGAAGCATGTTTGCTTGTAGCTCAGCGTCGGCGTAGCGTTGCCCATTGAGCAGCCGAACCCACACGGGGCCCCTGGCAGTCTCAGGGGGCTCATGAACCGGCCCAGAAACTCAGGTTGCTGCAGCGGTGGGTGGGCAATTTTTCTGTGCTTGATTTTGCTTCAGTGTCCCCATGACTTTCTTTGCAGGCAGGACGTGTAGCTGCTCCCCGCGGCTCAGTCTCATCTCCCTCCATTGGCTCCGCTCTTGCCACTGCCTCGTGGCATCCCGGGACGCGGCCACAGAGGGGCCTCTGTCCTTGCTCCCGCTCAGCCCGACCTGGCGGGTAAAAGCTCTTCTTTGTTAGCTCCTGATTTTGCGTGAGACATCTCTTTGTTTGTAGGAAAAACAGCTACTTTCTGCCGTTCTTTTATTTTCAACCAGTGCTGATCCTTCAAGGGGGACCATCAGCAGCAGGGTAGGCGCTGGCGCGGGATCCGCTGCAGAGCCACCTCTGCGCTGGGGAAGAGGTGCCAACGTTGTTGCACGAGGATTTGCCTAGTTTGGGGAAGCACACAGGAAAACAAAACTTGCATGAGGTAATACATAACAATAGGATCCAAGCACGAGCAAGGAGCTGGCCTGAAAAAAAATCTCAGGAAATTTTTGGGTTTGGTTCGTTTTAAGGTTTCATCCAGTGCTAAGGCTCATTCGCAGCTCGTTTGAAGCTGTTAGCCTAGCTCCAATTAATCGGAGCCTGCAGGCTGCTGGTGCTGATAATGGATGCTGACAAAAAGCCCAAGTGGGTCCATTTGAATCTTCCTGTCTGGATCCACTGAACTCACTGCTAACAGGTACCTTGACTCAAAATGCGAGGGTTTTCTGCCCTGGCTCCAGCCCTTACACTGCTATAGATCACTGCTATATGGCCACCAACACCTACCTTAGCTCCTTGTTCATTTCTTAAGTGGGAGTTTGCTGGTGATATAGATGCTAAAAGCATTCCCTTCTTTGTATCATGCAGTTCAGCATTTTTCACTTCTTTGGATTTCTTTCCTGGGCTCTTGGAGCTAGAAAGCTATTCCTGCAATGCAGGAAGAGAATTCCAGTTTTTCTTAAGATGTGAAACAAGCATTATAGAGGTTTTGGTGGTTTCATTCAAGTCTCCAGAGCCACCCATCTTTGCAGTGTTCAATCAGAGTTTTCTTAGTTGCGGACGGCAGGCCATTAATAGAGAAAGTGTCTCAGCAAATCTGATTGTGCTATCAACAGAGGCAGTGGCATCATGCTATGGCCACAGCTGAGAGTTTTTTGCTTGCATGAAAAGCAAAATCTGCTCTGACAAAATTAAGGAAAAAAAACAGCTTATTTTTCTATTGCTGTTGTGTGTGGTTTTGGTGGTACAAGAACTATTGACAGGACTCAGAAGTGATGTTGCAAGAGGCCCTGTGTGTAGTGATCAATACCCTTAGGCAAAAGGATTAGACTGCAGCCTAGTCTTTGGGACTGAAAAATGGGACTGCAAGTTGTGCACTGGTCGTTATTTCTCCTATGGGACATTTATCCTAACTATAACTGTAACTTTGCTTGGCTGTCCTTTCTTCTGAGGGATTGAATAATGTGCTAGTCAGAGTCCAGAAGCAGGCACAGGGCTGTTTATTCAGCTACTTGCCTGTAGCAGAGCCGCCAAGGGAAAGGGGCTGTTTCGATCTGAGCCAGCAAGTGCAGCGCGAGGCACGTGAGACCTGGGCTCTCCTCCTGACATGGTCATTCAGCAGGTCAAACTATGTGTGGCAAATTGGCATCTCACCTTCCTAAACTCTGTACCTCAAAAATGACCCAGATGGGCTGTATTAGTTTCTGCCCACTGTTAAATGAGGATGAACTACAGTGGTGAAAACTCCCCTGGGCAGATTGCTTTCAGGGCTATGGACTCCAAGAAACCCCAAGGGTTAATTTTGCAGAAGGATAACTTGCTTCCATGTTCTGGTTTCAGAGAAAAGGGATATTTTTTTTTAATTATTTTCCTTTTGGATTTTGTCTTTTGTTTAGTTTTTGAGGGTGGACCTAAGATAGCATCTTATGTTTAACTTTTAAAATTTTCATTATGCTCACTATGCATGTAGGCCTACGGATGATTTTGCCTTTAGGAGGAGGCAACACACAGACGGTGGCACATGCTGGTCAATCCTGCTGTTATCTTAATGTTATAGAAGTGAAAAACCCATGCCTTAGCTGATTGTATATGTGATTTCAGCGGAACTAGTTGTACAGTAATTTAGAAACCCCAGTTCTATGTCATTTATTGTTTTTGTAAGAAAATAATATTCGATACACAGTCAGGAACCAATTTAAGTCAAAATTAAACTAGAGACCATAGATCTATGCTACACTGTGAACTTCAAGTGGACAAAGAAACGTGATCAGTTTATACATTCATATATCTTGCTTAACACTGTTTACTTGCTCTAATGACTTGTGTTCAGGCCATCAATTTGTCTCAAGCGCAGCTTATGGCTGGAGGGTAGTTTAGACTTATTCAGGCATCTTGGAATACTTTACAGATAAAACGGAGACAATTGACCTTACAGCATATGATATTATAAATGATGTTACTAACATTTTCTCAGTGGAAGCAACGGAGGAGACAAAGGCTCACTCTTTCTTTGGAGAAGGAAAACTACATCGCTGAGGAAGATGAAAAGGAAAGCGAACTCGGAAATAATTGCGCCGGCTCCTCATTACATTGACACTGTTTCGCGGAGCAGGGCAAGGTGCTGGGGAAGTCAGTGCAAGCCCAGCGTGAGCCTTGTCTAGGCTCCCGTGAAATCACACAGGGATGAGACGCGCGCTGCTTCTGGTCACATCGTGCAAAGGGTTTTGCACTAAGGGTAACACAAAGGGACCGCTTACAATGGGACCTCAACGTCATGTGCTCTAACAGATGCTAATACCGAGGACACGGGCTATCTGTATTCAGAGTTGAACTGGCAATGCAAAGTAAAAAAGTAGCAAGTTTGAACGAAAAAGAGGGAACTTACTCAAAGCAAGAGCTAAGAGCTTGCTAGAACGGTGTCTGTTTTTAAAAATAAAATCTTGGTCGGAGTAAGGGAAAAGGGTATATTTAGAACCAGCAAAACAACCTGGCTTTCCTGGCTCTCTATATACACTATTTTGCCAGACTCCAGTTAAAACCACCCAGTTTTTCCCCTCAGAAACAAACAACCCTGTTTGCTCCCAAAACTCAAAAAAAGCTCAGTTTGCTTTAAGCTGCTAAAAAAACTTCCTGCATCTTGGTTTGGCATTGTGTGCCAGGCTTCAATGTGCTGAGAAATGAAAAAGTGCTTTGTAATGGAAAAGCCAGTTCATTCCTCGCTACGTGGTGCCACAGCAATAAAAATGAAAGTTGCAACCCTTCCTGTCTTAAAGAGGCCAGAGGGAACAGGGGATTAATTTAGAGAGTTCAGCATCAAGATCGCTGTGATCGAAACGGTGCTCTCCAGCCATTTCCAGGCTCAGCCAACACTGGCTGCCTCGCGTATTTGGTAATTCAGTGAACTGCTTGATAGAAAGAGAAAGCTGCATAAAGCCGCTTGCTGTTAGAGAGTGGGAGGTTAATGAAGTTCATTTTACAGACCAGTAGTGCAAACCTGCTATCAGATGGCTTGCACAGATCCCAGATGGCTTAAGTAAAGCTGGGACTTAAACAGGTACCCAGCATTTTGCCATGTGATTAATAAAGCATCAAGACACTTACATTGCTTCAGCAGCAGGATTAATGACTGTCCATAACTACGTGCTTTGACCAAGAAGGGGCACACGTGAACGCTGAGGACCTCTAAATCCAACTTTTAGGTAAGCTAATTGAAATATTTTTCTACATTGGCACAATACTGGGCAACTTCGGACATTGTGATTGCCGCACGGCTTTGCAGATGGATCAGGCATCATGCTGAGCGCAAAGTGCTGCTGCTGCTGCTGCTCCTCCTCCTCTTCGGAGGCAGGTGGGATCAACGTATGCCTGCTGCATGGGGCAACCTCGACCAGCCTCCTGCTGCATCACTCACTGCACTGCCCATGGAGAAACCCAAAAGCGGAGAGTTTGACGGGGACAACCTGCCCCACCCTGGCTGGGCAGTACCAAAATGCAACTCACTTTTCAGAAGTCTTTTATGTTGGGTCTGTGATTAAATCCATAGGGCTAGCATGTATCATTAGTTCCCTGCCAGTTAACTCTCTGCACTGTCTAACCCATGTAGCAGCCTTTATCTCCGAATACACACAACGGTATTTTTGTTTGCTTGCAAAATTATTACTACTAGCGCAACGTTCAAACCTGCAGCATGGTTTATTCTGCTGTAGGCCACCCCATGCAAATACACTTACAATCCTCCTCCAATACTCTGGATGCCCACACCACAGCCTGCCTGGCCAGAGCAGACCTACAGCCTATTCTGTTGCCACTGCCCTTCAGCATGTGGCTTTTCTGCAGCTCCACCAGATGTGGGTAGATCACGTGGCTCTTAATGGAAAGGAAGGGATGAAGCATCTTGTTGCCCTTCCAGGAACAAACCCTGGGCAGAGACATGCTTGTAGGGGGACTGCCAGCAGCTTCACAGAAGCATTGTATATCCCTTCTTCATACCCCACAGCTATGGTTACCACGTGCACCTACGAAGCCCTGCTGACTCCACGTGCTCCTCAGGCACCCGACACCTTGCTCCAGTGCTCATGGGTGCCCCAGCAAGAGCGATCCTGAATGAGCACGTGCACTGCCACGCCAGGGGGAGGGTGTGGAGATGTTGAAACCAAACACAGGTAACAATAGCATTTAGGTAAGACACTGCACTTCACTCACGGCTGGTGTTTACGCAAGCCAATGATTCAAAGTCAGACAAATCCTTCATAATCTCTTCGGTAAAGTGGAGTTAAAATAGCAGCCCAGAGTGTTTCACCTTTGTCTTCTTGCTCCAGGCAATGGCTGGTTTTACGGGCAATAAAGAGCCAGTGACAGGTTCAGCCTAATCAGTTCATTCACCCTTTCAGGAGAAATGCATAGAAACCAGCCACAATTTTATGCATCTCCAGAACCGGCTGACTCAGTAAAGTCATGTCTTCAAGGTGGTTCTCTAATCAGCTCTTTTATATGTATCAAGAATGATAGCATATGGCATCTATGAAAGAGGATATTTAAAGCTATGGAGGTTAGCTTTAATCTTATAGAAGAATATAAAAGGATGCCTCAGTAAAGCTCTGTGGAGGTCACTCAGAGGACTTCTAGCAATGTTGCTTAAATACGAGTTAACTGAGCTATTCATTCGCTTTTTGGTCCCTGTTTAAGTTCGTTGCCTAAAATACCTTGATCTTTCCTGACTTTTCTCTATGCCTCGTGGCTGAGCAAAATAGCAATTTTGGATTTTAGGGGGGAGTAGGAGGGAGTATGTTATGAAAACAGCTTCAGACTGTGCATTTCTATGCACCTTTACTTTCTCTTCCTCTTCAGAATAAAAGTCTAATCCATGAAGAGGTAGCAAATTTGTCTATGTGCGACTCTGAAGTAAAAATGTGAATATCAGAATGAAAGGATGAAACAAAGAGTCAAAATAAATTACCCTACACTCATTAACTAACCTTCCTGGAAGTGAGGTCAGGCCAGAAGATACAGACCAAACTATTCTGTCCTTGTACAAATGTTTAAGGGTACCTTAGCATCCTCTGATGAGACACTTAGAGCTTACTCAAAATCTTATGCAGCAGCTGCTGCTTTGGAGTAAAGGAATATGTGCTGATGTGGACAAGACTGGTGAATCGGGGTAATCCAGCCAACAATGTAGGAGGAAGATTTAAGTGAAGCCATTTAACATATCTAAACATAATTCATGACTAGAATGCAAGTGCCTTTCTACAGCATTGTAACAGAGGCAATATATTATGCATATATAGCATGCCATCCTAACCAGCAGGGGAAGCATTTGTCACTTGTTTCAAATTTGCTTTCTTGGGTTGCAGGCACACTTGCTAAATAACTAATAGCATTTTGGGCAATGGAAAGAAAAAGAATCTGTAAAAACCTGAAAACAAACCCAGACAGCCAAGTAGGCTGGAGAAACCCTTGGATAACCTGCTACAATCTCCTTGCAGCTGCAGCTGTGGCAGGTGGTGGATCCCTGTTCCAGTTGGATTTTCAGCTTAAGGCCCAGGAATCTTACAAACTACAGGAATTCTGCACGTGGACATCTTGCTAAGTCAGGTCTCAAAAGAAGTGCTTAATAAGGTCTTAACTTCCTATTGAGGAGAGTCCTTTGTGGAAATACGATTTAGAGCAGGATTGGCTGCTATATAGGAATGTTAAAAAGGACTATGACAGTTTTCTAAATCACTGCTTGCACTCTCAAGGATGTTTGCATGAGACAGGGTAAGTTAACCCTGGTGCAACTCCGTCTCAGCATCAGTCCCACTGCTTCCAGCTGTGGACATCGCTTGTTTGCTGCAAGGCTGAGATGTCTGTGGACCGTGCTGCAATTCCCAAGCTCCAGGGGAAGCCAAAGAAACCAGACTGCACTGATGAACAATGACCAACTCGAGCGGGGTCACAGAGGAAGGACAGCGAAGGCAACTAGGAGCGTATCTCAAACAATCCTGCTCAGTTTCACGTGGAGAGACTGCTGTGCAGAGAACAAAAGGTTAAAAAAACAAAAAAAGTACAGATCTAGCCAGTTAGGACGCAACCGCTGGAAGTCATTAAAGAAGAAGAGAGCAATGTTTTCACTTTCCCCACAGACGCGACACAGGCAGGTCAAGGGCTGGTGAGCGGCTGCAGCATCTACACGTTCGGCCTAGCAGATCAGCAGCAGCGCTTTATACAGTTACAGCTTTTGGCTAACTTTTGCTCTTATGCTAACAACCTTACATGCCAATCTGCAGTGTAGGCTGTGGCATGAGATTACTGCTGTATTTTTTCCAAGTTCAATGTATGTAGGTGAAACCCTTTTATTTTCCAGGTGGAATTTCTGTGGCTGAAATCTTTCACCAGGCACCAGAAGGCAGCTGGCTAATGACCATTTTTTTAAGCCCCAAATTTCTAGGGAGACATCAGCGTACCCGGAAGCACTGTCAGAGGGACCCGCAAAAAGCAGCACACCAGTTTTTGGCAATGAGAGATGAGACAGCTACTGGGCTAACCTTGCTTACCAGAGACATTTTGGCTGTGGAAGGCCTTGTCTCCCACCTTCGACTGGCGCAGGGGTAGACCACTGGTTTGGGACCCTACCAGCGGCCACGGGTAGGGGCCGGGCTGGGCTCTCAGAGCTGTGGTCCTCCTCCCCAGCTGCAACAAGGCAATAATTCGCATCAACACCAGCCCTTCGCTGATGCATCGTGCGGGGTGTCTTTGGGGAAGAGAGGGGAAAGAAAAGGTTTACCCATGCCTGTCCGTTGGAGGGGGAGCACCAGCGTGCCGGCAGGGCCTCTCGTCTCCCTCCTGGCAGTGCCTCTCCGGAAAGCAGCTCCTAAAATAAAATCCTTTTAAAGGAGCATGGTAAAATAGCAGCAGAATAAAAGAACAGGGGAAGAAAAAGCCTGTCTTCAGCTTCCCATTAACCTGCCCCTTGACTGCCTTCATCACGTTAATTTTGTATTTTACACTTGTTTGCTCAGCGGGGAGCACAGATGGCTGCACCCACGTGCAAGACGGCCGACGCTGGTGGCACCTCTGTCACTTCCCCCTCGACGCGGCGAGGGGGAGCTCCCGGCCGGCGTGGGCACAGCAGTGGGCTGCCATGGGTTAGTAAAGGTGGTCAGCTCGTAATTATGGCTCCCTGGTTGGCCTCGGCCTCTCGGGAATAAGCGAGAGGGACTGAGCATGTAGAGGCTGTGCAAAGGCTGGAGGGGGGTCTGCACTGGAGGGAGGGAGGTCCCTGTTTCAGCTCACTGAGGTGTTTTAGAGGGAGCCAGTATCTGTATGAGGGAAAATATTAATATTTGAGCATGCTAAGTGACTACATTAATTTCCCGTAAGCATTTAATAGCATTACATATGAATACAGAAAAAGCAAGACGTTTTCCTCCGTCGCTTTTCCGACGGCCGGAGGCACATCTGTCGGAGGGACTGTTTTCACCTCCCGCAGCTTCTTTACCAAACTGTATTACTCTGGGCCTGTGGTGAGACAGTTAATTGTGCTCCTGAGACTACCGCCCCTGCATACAGAAGTCTCGTTCGCCATAAGGATGACAAGAGCCCAATTCGCCAGCCCTTAGCAGACGGCCAAGCGCCGCCGCCCCGGCTTTGCTCCGCGCGCGGGCAGGCGAGGCAGCAGGTGAATTCTCAAGGCGGAGCGCTTGCGAGGCAGCCTCACGCTCGAAGTCGCCTTACTGCTGATTGTTTCCTCTCAGCATACTGTGAAACAAGGCATAAAAATGGCTCGGACTAGCGCGCTGTGCAGAAGCACCGGTCACAGCCCTAAAAGGCCACAAGTCACGACTCTGACTGACACCGGAGCACAAAACAACGAAGGGAGGGTAAAACGTTCTCTTTTTAGTTGAGAGTCGGAGCAAAGTTACAAAGTATAAAGCATAAAACACAGGGCGGATTCTGACCGTTGCGGGAAACTCGAAACCTGGTGGCGCCTCTGCACTTTTGTTATTAAGCATTGTCCTCCGCATAGGTCTTTTCCCCGTCCACTGATAACACGTTGCTAACTTTCAAACAGCACTTGAGACCTGACTCAAGCAACACCCAAGTTAACCCACCCGTAACTTGCATTTTCCTGCCCTCCCTCGCAGAGGGATGCCCACAGCCCCTGCGCGTCCTGCCGCGGCACGGCTCACGCCTGCGTTTTGGGCAGCCCTGGCCTCCTCAGCACCAGAGGATGTGGCCACCAAACCCCGCTGGCAGGCTGCTGGGCCCAGGCAGCCTTCTCAAGGTAACATGCTGCCGGCCGCAGGGACTGCCCGAGCCTGTCTCGGGTTTTATCAGCTGCCTCCTCCTGTTTTCAAAAATAGAGCCGCATTGATGCCAACTGCTAGTACAAGTCATTGCCAGCCTTGGCTGTTTATAGCTTTTTTCCACTGGAACAAAGCTATAGTCAGAAAGCCAGAAAGAGTTTGTTGAATAAGAGGGCTAAGAGGCAGGTCTGCCTATGTGGCCAGACGACTTTATCCAAAAGAAACAATTATGGAGGAAACAAAAAGTCATAGGACAACTTTGATTAATTCAGTGCTAAGAACAGAACAGTTTCAGCATGTCTTCAGCCCCAAAAGCCTGAATATGACAGTTTGATGGGGTAGTTCCTTAATCCTGAATTCAGTTATTCCAGGTGCTTAGACCCAAATCTAGGTTAAACTTGCAACAAAGGCGTCTTTTCAGGAAAGGCTCGTGCGGGGTTCGTAACCCTGCACCAGCAGGCACAGGTAGCAGTGCTGCTGCCGGGCTCCTGCCAGACCCGCCATTTCGTTGGCATCGCCTGGAGCTCCCTCCTGCTGGACCTTTTCCTCCTGAAAAGCCCATGAGTTTTTAGTTCAGAGTCCACAGAGGTAACACACAGACCACACAGCAATATATCGGAGATCTAACACACCTACTGTGTGTTCCTCATCTGTAGTAAGACACTCAAAGATTTCCGATATCTAGGCAAAATCACTGAAAGACTCAGTTATCAAAATCATAGCAGGCAATAACCTCTTAGGTAGCTAGAGGTCAAACCTCATCTAGAGACACTGAATCACTCTTCTTTGAAATTCAATTTAGAGGAGACAGTTCACGAAGCGAACAAAAAAAATTCAATTTCTTAAGCCTGATGTCTTACTAGTGGTTTGCCTGTTCCCCCCACTCCCAAATTCCTAATTTTTTTCTTCTCAGACAATTTTCTTGTGAAAGAAACATGAGTAATTTCTGCTAAGCAAATGATGTGTTTTGGAGTGTAGCAACTGTAATGACCTCCCGGATTATTATTAGTTGCCTTGCTAATTGCAGTAAGGAAATGAAGGACACGAAGGTAGACAGGGAGCAATGGGGGGAACAGTGCCTGCAGGTTCCCTAGCCCAGAGCTGTTGAGCTCAGCACAAAGGTCAGGCACTTTGATAACATTAATGGAACAAAACTGCCTCTGCCTTTTAAAATTGTCTCTAAATCTCAGAGCGACACAGCAACAAAAGGAATCTGCAAAGTCTTAGCCAGAAACTTCACAGGTCTAATTCCCCCATCACTGTATAGTCTAATGCTGAACACAAGATGCCTGAAAGTTTCTGTGTTCAGGACTTTCTGCAAAAGTTGCTCCCTTATATTGCAAGCAATCACTTATCTGCAGTCATGTGCTGCTGAGTAACCAGAGACCAATCTGCCAACCACTTCCATAAAGGACAGGCTGCCCAAAGAGGTTTTTTTTTTTCTTTTCCCATGAGAAAGTACTAAAAGAATATATTCCTCTGCACCAGAACAACAAAAAAACTTGAGCAGAATATTCCTGGCTATTTTCCTGCTGCTAGCTCTTCCACATTTTCTCCAGTGATCTGGACAACATCACATCAAACCGTAATTCATGATGAGTCCGATTTTACTACCTTAGCAATGGCTGGCTTTGGCTGTGTAGCTGTTCCCAGCCACTAAAGAGGTCTACAGAGTGCCTCTGTGCAAGTCTGGCTCTGCACGGCATCTGGTCTTTGTGACACCTGATGTTTGAAAAAAAAGCAATTAAAGCTCCATCATAAAAATAAAAACTCAAAGATTCAGTCAGAAAACAGCATTCCCTTGTACTTGTGCTTTGCAGAGAGATGAGATAACATACCTTGTGCAGCCTATCCGTTCTCCAGGCTGTTTGACTTGGAAAAAACGCTAGGTACAACTAACTCCCCACGAGCTCCAGAGACAGAAACTTAACTACTTGAAGAACAGCCGCTTCATGATGTTGTAGTGTGCTGTGGACCCACAAAAGAAAAGAGATCGTGGGCAGTTTACCTGAACAATTTTTACCACTGCAAAAACACCCATTACTTCCTTCCTCTCTATTTACTAAATAACCTAAAATATCTCAGTGAGTCTAGTTGTGCGGCAATGCGACATTTTTACTGTTAGTGCCTTTCCACTGATTACTCTTCCCCATAACTGCCCCAGTTCACAATAACTTCCCGGGGCTCAAGTTTTGGGCTGATGGCCTGGTTTGCATAAAAGGTTGGAGAGCAGTAAAGTAGAATCAATCTGCACCACAGCTGGCTCCAGCCACTGCTGTTATCCTATTTTCACCCGGGCTTATGAAGTTGAAGCAAAATGCTCCCCTTTCAGAGTTGTTAGGGTGCCTGCTGTGAAGATGCAGTGATGTCAGCCCCAAATAATTAAGTTGTTATATTATAACTGTGAGTCTGTGCTCCATTAAGTGAGTTCCCGCTGACTGATTAATGAGCAAACAAAAATTCACATCCCATTAATATTTTTAGAGTTACATTAAACGTAAAAAAGAAAACTCAAGTGCTTAGCAGTGACTACTTGGGAGTCTTTTTCTGAAAGACCAAGATGGAAACATGCACTATCCCATCACTACATTTTGAAATGACTGAAAAGTTTATTTTCTTTTCACGGGGTGGAGAATTAGGTAACAACACAGTCTCACTGTTTTGCTGTTGCTTCTGTGCAACATTCAAATCCTGTCTTGTCAAAAGAGCGATAATTTTCCCCTTCCTGTAACAACGCTGCAACTACAGTATCTCAGAGGCTCTGAAATATACAGTCCCCTTGGTTGTGCCCACTAGAAATTTGAGGAGAGTCTAAAGGAAATATTCTTATTTGTCAATATAATGCACAAGATTTACAGAGAATCTAAAAAAAAAAAAGAGAGAAGAAATCAGTGGTATTGATACAGTTACCGCTTGTGGGAAGAATGGAGCCCAGCCTCAAGTTTACCTTTCTGTGTTTTCCCTGCAAGGGCAGTGAGTGAGCGTGGCATCCGCTAGCGAGGACTCGGGTGAGATGCGGCCACTGGGAGGGGACCTATAGATCACAGCTGTCTCAGGCAACCGGGACCTGAAGTCACATACAGCTTTTAAATCACGACTCAGGCTTTGAAAATAAAGCCAGCACAGTTCAGAGATTAATTCGAGGTTTAGGCTTCCCATGAATGATGACATTCGCGACACAGCCAAGCAAGTGACAGCCTTTCTGCTCGCACCATTATCCCTGGCATGATCTGCACGAAAGCGGCAGAGCCTTGCTTCTATTCTTTTCCGCAGATGGTATAAAAGGAAAAAAACAGGATGTGAAGTTTACAGCTCAGTGCCCTGATTTCTGGAGGTCTGTTAGCTGAAATGGATCTTCTAACAAAATATTTATATGCTCTTAGAAGCTTTTTAATGAAAAGGAATAAGTGCTATTTGTGTTTTCACTGGTTGTATTTGAGAATCCTGGTCAACATAAATTATTCAACACACAGAATTTATTATCAAATTATAAACATATGGCTTAGCCTGAGAAAATCTTTCCTAGAGAAACAAATGTTGCTCCCAAGTACCACAGAGGTCTACAAGCCTAGTTGCAAGATTTGGTACTCTATTAAGGAACTGAAACTTTCAACATAAATAGCATGAACTGCCTACTATTTAAACGAATAGTAACCTGCAGCAACAGGCTGGGTGTACCCTTGTTTACTCCAACCAGCATGCTGTGCCTTACAGGAAATACCGAAAGATAACAGACGAGGTGACATCTCCCCACTTCCTGAAGGACACACTTGTTAGTATATCAGCAAGGACACTTGCAGCAGATGATGTTTTCTCCACTGTAAGTACTCACATCTATTTTATTTATAATGCGATCTAAAAGGCAAAGGCTTCATACACAATGAAATTGGGTATTTTGTAAGAAATACAGCAATAACAACAACAACAACAACAGCAACAACAAAAAGAACTGGGGAAAACAGCACGTTAGGTGTCATTCCATTTTTATCGTCCTTAGCTACAAAACAGGCTTCCTGGGGTGAGGTAATCTTCAGGAGACGCTCTCCGCCTATGCTCTGGGACACAGCGCTCTGCTGCAAGGACAAGTCTAGCAACGCTGATAAGATCCTTCTCCACCATAAAGGCGCCCTTCTGTTCCTCCTCAAGAGATGTGAAAAGCAGATGCACCAAAACAGTATCTGTACCCTATGATGCCTTTCACCTTAAGAAGGCCGATGAAATGGAGGTTGGGAAGTCCGTTAGGGATGTCGCTACTCAAGGTGCTCAGATATGAAGGAATGGGCAGCAGTTTAAAACGCGGAGGTAAAGGAAAACGGATATCTCCAAATTGGCACCTAACAGGTAAATGCAGGTAAAGACCACTGTAAGTGACAGGGTTGGCACTGCCAGGCGTCTGGCAGTAGGTTCTTTAGTGCATCCTGAAAAACTTACTGTATCAAACTCACTCCGAGGGAGTCGCTTTTCAAAAGCAGTTAATAGCCTAAGGAACAGCCCTCTCTATAATGTTGATGACTGTAAAATACTATGATGCTAACATCTTATTTAAGGCCAGATAAACATTGCAAGCTGACTGTTTGTTGTTTTAGTTAGGGTTTTCATTACATACAAAGGGAACAAGTTGAAATTTAGCAACTGCCAAAATGTCTCAAACCAATTGGGAATAGGTTGGTTTTTGATCTCAGACAGGTCACCCTTGTCTGAACACCCTTCACTGCTGCATAACGGCTTGCTTATGCTCGCCAAAGATACTAGGCCCTCTGTTAATGTCAGACTTTTCCAACCTAAGGCAGATTATATAAAGACATCTTACATATTAAAGTTCATAGGTATTCTTTCTCAGACTTTCTGAAAAGAGAAATCTTGGTTTCCAGATTCAAATTCCCAAGCATACCATATTTGTTCTGTACAGGCTTTAAACTGCTTCAAGGGCTCTTCAGAAACAACTGCAAGGAAATAGGTGTGAATGGCTGCTGTAGCACAGGCTTTCTACCCACGATTAACAACTCGGGTTTTTTTTTTGCAGTGAATTTCCTGTCCAGCAAAGTAAATGAACTACTGAATTCAAATAAAGTTTAGTACTTTTCTGTAAAAATAATATTTACCCCAAACTAACAAACCACACATATGCACAAAATTACTTCTTCCTTTTTGCAGAACAGGCTGAATTGCAAAGATCTGGAGCTGTGCTTTCTTGCAGCTTTTTGACAGAATCTGAGGGGAAAAAAATGCTCTAAATTCTTTCATTCCCTTGTGCTGCAGAGAAATGGCACTACATGATGTCTCTAAATTGGCACATAACAGTGCAGAGACTGATGTATCTAACACCCTTTTCTGTCTGTACTGGATTATTCCTTAATTAAGGCATAAAGCTAGTCCAGCCTTTATTGTTAAAAAAAAATCACAAAGCTAACGAAGAGCATGAATTGCTTTTCCAGTCACTGGCCAAACAATACGCAGCATCTATATTTTCTGCATTATCACGTGCAGGCAAGCAATAATTCAGAAGAAGTTATGCATCTACCAGTCAATATTTCCATGCCCAGAGAGATATTGCAGTTACAGAACAATTTGTCAGGGCAGAAACATTATTTGAATGTAGGAAACATAGGCTCATCCAACTGCTTTTGTTGCGTGTACTTATTTGACACCGGCTGTTCAATATGGACAATCAAAGCAAAGAGTATCAGGTATGCTCTCAGCAGCCAAACCATTGCAGCCTTTTTGCAGAGCTTATGTGAGAGTCAAACAAGTATATAACACTAAGGATACATCTGCAGTACCTTTAAACTTGCCTCCACAATCAACTCATTTTCTTTCATTTCTAAGCTTAAACTCCTCAGAAATGCCACAAACAATAAACCCACTCCAGCTATCCATCTGAAGTGTAACAGGGTCTTCCCGTTACCTTAAAAGGAGAGGATATCATTTTTCATGCATCTGTTATGCAGTGACAGGGAAGAGAGATAGTTATACTTTCTACAGGTTGGGGTACGATGTACAGAACAGCTAAGGCAAGATTTTTTCAAAGCTGCCAGCAACATTTTCAGACACAGCAAAGCACTTCACCTATTTAGTCCAAATGTCCAGTCTGGTGGTATTTAAGCATGTAACCCCTTTAGATGCCAACTCATGGGATTTACAGAAGTCCCTGTCTACATTTTCAGCACCTTCTGTTTCAGAAAATTTGCTCCATGGTGGTTTTTTGGCTGCAGGAGCCCTATGCACTGAGTTGACCCTGGTCCCAGGTCAGCATCCCACCCACGAGACCATCCTTCCTGGGGGACAACCAAGCCAAAGGACAACCAACACCCACCCTCGCTCCTTGCAGCTCTGCCACTTGGTGTCCAGCAAGACTTTTAGTTTGCTGCCAAGCTGTTACTTTGATTTTCTCCTACAGTGCAGCTGGAGCATTTGATGCCCTGTACCCAGTCCTCGGGTAGCTGGGAGACCTCCTTCATCTGGCAAGGTTGGAAGCATGGCATAGTGTCTGTTTCCATAATCTTTGTAGGGACTACAGCAAAGATGGCAGTATTGGTCTTTGGAAATCACAGCCTCCAGAGTCACAGTTCATCTAAGGAAGACAAACAGCGGGGGTACATATCCAAAGTGGGACAGAAAAGGCCATGTTTCTCCTGGCACTGAGGCAATTTAATGATCTCCATCTGTTCTGAACCGAATTCCCTCGCCAGCCTGCGTTTCTTGCACTCTTCCTTCCTAGAGCCGTGCGAAGGTCCAGCTGCAGTGCAGCCTCTACTGCTGACTTTAATGGCCGCTATGAATTTAGTGCGGGTGAAGCAGCATCTTAAAGTGCAGGTACGACAGGACAGCTTCTGACTTTCTTCCTCCATTAGACAGGTAATCCTAAAATAATGATGGATATCCTGTCCTCATCTCCCTTCCTAAGCAACCCATGCGTCTGGACAAAGGAAAAATAAGAACGTGCTATTAGATCCATCTCAGTGAACTACTCAGTGCTATGGGACAGTGCTATGAAGCTGCTATGCTCTAAACATCACTTTATTAAACTCTAACGTGCCTAACACATTTGCTATTGATGTGTATTTACAGCTATTCTTTGAGCTGTTTGTAAACCTATTTCCAGGCAACTAGACTCAACAGTCTCTACATTAGTCTCATGCTCCCCCTCTGTTATCTTGGTATGGTTAGTAGCCCTTTTCCCCTCCTGTGCCTTTTCTTTGAATTAACTCACCTTCAGTCTTTAGCTGAGAAGGGAGGCCACAGAGTCACAAGACACCACAGAACATTTTTAAAACAAAGAAGAGGCACTTTTACAAAACAGAAAATGTGTTCTAATCACCAGCCATTCCTAATATTACCCTCCTCATCAATATTACATGAGCATTTTCAAAGAAATCTCTCAGTCCCTTCGATTAAGTGATATGAAATGTAAAATAAGTCTTGAGGGAAAACTCTGACTGCGACATTAATTACGGCCCTAAACCCAGGGCTCCATAACAATAGTCTAACCAGATATTAGTTTCTTGCTTAAACTCTTATTTACTGATGAAAAATCTATTAAAAATGCAAAACTCAGTAGTAAACAAACAGAAACTTACGCTAAATCTTTGCCCCTTCCCAAATGTGGTATCTCAAGAGCTTTGTGTGATGTTGACTCAGGCCACCTCGCCTCGAGGCAGCGCACGTTCATCCTGCTTTCAGCCGTTTCCACTCCGCAGGGCATGGCCTGAGCGCTTTTCTGAAGAGGATATTTAATAACGTGGTTTTTCACGCTCAGCTGAGCAAAGCGTCTGCCTCAGGGACAAATTTGGAGGCTGCGCTGCTGAGCTTGCGGCAGAGCAGGCCTGCGAAGAGGTTAGCGTTGAAGGCAACGGCGCGAGCGGGCGGGCGGATGGGAGCTGCGGTGCTCTGCTCGAGGATCGTCGCCAGCGCGATCGCCCCGCGTTGTAAGAGGGGAAAAAAAAGAATTTCATTGCTGGAAAGACTGAAGGATGCAGAGAGAGAAGGGGAAAAAAAAAAAGGAGCAAAGGTCCTGTTGAGTTCAGGTCCCCAGAACAAATCTGTGAAGATATTTCAGCCAGAAGCCCATTACAACCACAACGGAAACCCTCCCCACTGCTATAAAGTCTAACTGAGAAAAAAATACATTCACGAAAATTAAACGACATCAATGTGCGTGAGGCCCAGCGCCCATTTACTTTGAAATCCTTTGTAAACTCGCTGTGACCACAAGAGCAGCCCCTGAAAAAGCGATCAATACCTTTAACGAGGCTGCTGTAACGTAATGGAAACGGGAGCAGGGGAGGAGGCCTGGCGGAGCGGTAACGCAGCATCGATCCTCCCCGATCGATACCGCGGCTGCAAACCTGGCAGGGGAAGGGGGAACGGGCAGGCCGCCCGCGCCCCGGCCGCCCTGCCAGCCAAGGTCACTGCAGCCGAGCGGCCCCCTCCGCGCTCCGGCTTTCCCTGAGAGCAGCCGTTGCCTTCCAAGAAGCGGACGGCGTCGCCCGCCGCCGCCTCGCTCGGCTTTGCTGAGCGGTTTCCTGGCGTGAGCCGCTGTGGCTAACCCCACTGGGCAGCCTCCTTCCCCCCTGCCACCATGGTGAGCACCTCCTAGCAGAAGTGGAAGGCGCTGGTAGCGCCGATGGGTGCCTATATTTACCGTGTGACCTTCTGGAGCCAAGGGCCAAAAGTCCTGCCAGTGGCTGGTGTCTTCCAAGGCCAAGGGATGCGTAGGGCTCGTCCCTGCCGTGAGGACTTCCGGTGATCCCAAACAGGACGAAGATCGATCTGTCTTTCCCAGCGTCCTACATCCGAGCGACACGTGCCACCCAGGCCGGAGGGCAGAGGCAGTGGTGCTCCTGGCAGACCACCTCCCCTCTTGCAAACACCTCGGCCCGGGCTGGGGAGAAGCTCCCTCTGCACCGCAGCTACAAATCGCACGGCTCATGCAGAGCGGCTGAGCGAACACCCAACATTTCCTTCAGGTCCTTGGGAGATCGAAGAGCATATCTTGATGCTTGCCACTGAACAGGTTACCCGAGTGGCAGGTGCAGCAGCACCGCTGATAGGCAAAATACATAACGCTCTGGCTTTCAGTCTTTCTAAAACACTCAGGTTTTAACAAAGCCTCATCTTAGAAAGTCCTAAAATCCCCTCCGTGGCTGCTGTGGGGACTCGTTTCTGGAGGGCGCTTGCATTGCTCTCACTTGCTGGGCTGCACTGCCACCCCATGCCCGGTGAGGAACTGCGGTGGCTGTCTAGGCCAGCGCACCGGCCACACTGGCAAACAAGCAAACGTGGGGCTGAGCAAGCTGCTGTGACCACCGAGGTCAGCAGAAGTGTGCTGCTTTACACCTGGACAAACCCGACGCGAGCAGGCTGGTGCTGCACTGAACAGCGAGGTCACACCTTTAGCAAAGGCTGCTCTGCAAGCTCTGAAAAGAGGTGTTTACCTCCAAGCTTGGTGGCCTCTGCGTGTTTAAAGAGAGAGGCGTCTGCACAGCACACTAATAACGACTTTGGATGAAATGAATGCTCTTCCAGGCAAAACATGGTGAAAGCCATCTAGTAGCTAATGGTTTTGATACGAATGCAGTATCCTCTATTATATAGACAGACGGAGGAGCAACAACAGACACCTGCTACCTGCCTTAGTGCACGAGCTGTCTCTGACCATGCTGGCCATTGGCTCTCTGAGAGGACTACGCACGTCAGGCCAGCACCATCAGATGCTAATCCCGGTGCTGAGCGCATAAGTCGTAAGCACCAATCCATCTCTTAATGTTAAACTTGCCTGGATCTGTTCCCAAGGCACATCACATAGCCAGTCCCATCCTCCTCAGGTAGGTTTTATTTCTTACTAAAGGTAAATTTCTCTACATCCCAAAAAAAAAAAAAAATCAGTGATTTGATGACCTAATTTAAAGTTTTCATAAACTCAAATACTTTGATGAATTTGAAATGTTTTGTTTATATTTCACTTTTTTCTTATTTTCTAGTTTTCTAGTAGTTGAAGAACTACTTCAAACTTCAAAATGAAATAATTCTGAACTAGAAAGTGAATTTCCTTTAGAGCATATCAAAACAGGATATTTTGAACTGTTTCAGTTTCTTTCTGAAGGAGAGGGTGGTAATTCAAGATTGGTTGAAATCAACTGTTTCCTGCCTGAAGTTTCTATTTGGTCTCTTCAGCATTTTGCAGTAGAAATCAGGGTTTGAATTTTTCACACCAGCTCTCAGTGCTTGTATTCATCTCGACCATTTCAGGGTCCCCGGTGTCCCTTGCTTGGTGACAAAGGTTTCTACAATGAGAGGGCTGGGGTGTGCATGTTTGTGCTTTAAAGGTCTTCACCTTGCATTTTACAAACTCAGTAGAAATTAGACTTAGGTTTTCTGATTTTGATGGTGAGGGAGATGGTTATTCTTAAGCAATGGGATGAAGCACCATCACGCAGATTACTAATTCTGAACGCTTACCCTCAACAAAAAAATAGACCTTGGGTTCCTGCGTAATTCTTGTTTGCAAGGTCAGAGAACGAATCAATGGTTTTTTTTGCAGGGTGTGACTTGCTGATTTGTGTTGGGCTGCACTTTGTACCATACCCTCACATCCTTTTTGTTGTTTTCCGAAAATGATTTGCAACTGACACTGTCATAAATCACGAGGTGGGGAAGGAGGGGTGGAGAGGAAACCAGATGATTCTTCAAAGCAGGTACACACCAGGATGCAGAGTTAGCATAACAGAGGATGACACCTAGGGAAAATAAACTTTTGCCACACCTTAGAAAAGCACCACAAAAGGTATTTAAAGAGAACAAAAGATTTTAGGAGGAAATAGTGTTTTTATCAGCAAAAGCATGTTCTGATTTTCTTTAAAAAATCTGCAGGAGCCATATTCAACGCTATATGTAACACTAACATTTTGCCTCTCTCCAGCATGTCTTTATAGACGCTCCTTTTTTATGCGGTACAAACTAGCAAATATACTAATCCCATCAAGAAACAACAATAATACTTAGATTACAACTGTTTTTAAGGGGCTATTTCTCTTTTTTTGTCTTGTTCTGTTTAATTTAAAATGCCTGCTACATGTAGGACAGAGGAGGAGAGAAAGCGGCCCAGTTTATTCTTGGACTTAGGCAAACAGTATTTCTTAAAAGGAATTGTTCCACATACAGCAGACATGCCAAAACATGAACAGGATTTTTCTTCCTTCTAGCCCCCGCAGTGGTATTGTTTTTCAAAGTTAAAGCCCAAAAAAGACAAGTATCTCCACAGGCTAGTCTTTCCCCCACCACGTTTTTCACTTCTTCCCGCAGCGTGGCTGCTGGTACAGTTTTTTTGATACAGGTTGAGACTTAAGGGCGCAGCTAAACTGGCCACTTCCAAACTGCTGGCAGCCATGCAACTGCTCCCCCTCCTCTTCACCTCACCAGTGGGAACAGTGAGGTATTTTTTTTGGAAACAGTTTATCTTGGTAAGTGTATTACTGACCCAATTGCAGTCCAGTATGCTTATCTTATAAAAAATATATATATATTTTAGAAACTGAAAATATGCACTGTTCCCCATTAAAGTTTTGTAAAGTGAATGCTTTACACCAGCCCCACGCTCTCAATATGGAAAAAGGTTTCGGAGAAATCAAGGCTTTGCTTTGGCATTTTTAAGACAAAACATATCAGAATATTATTTCATAACGAGTTGTTTAAACAAACATAAGCTTTTCCACAAGTAGAAGAACCCTAAAATCCTCAACTGAAATATTTTTCTGGGCGAGGGGAATAGGGGGGAAAGGAAGAAAAAGGCTAAAAGTGAAAAGCGAAACATTTTTGAGTCGGGCCAGTATTTTTATTCTGTTTTTTCTGATTGTAAAAGTTACAAAGAAAGTGTGGATAGAGAAAATACTAGGTAGTAAAACTTACAGTAAAGCTTACTGCAGGGAAGTTATGAGGACTGAGTATGGATACCATCTGCTATATGAGTATTGTGAAATTTATGTAAGATTTCAGTTTTTACGTTCGAATAAGGAGCAGCCTGGCTGGGCTGGTGGCCAGGCTTGAGGCTTAGAGTATTGGAGTCCTGTTATGATGAGCAGTTAACTTTGATCACAGTGACTCAGAATCCATTTATTCAGATGATAAAACAGCTCAAGTTCTTACGGGTTATGTCCGATATCACAACGCTGCCAGATGCTCTGCCCTGTGGAAAATGAGAACAAAAAGATTTAGAAAGAAAGCCTGCTGGGGACTTCCTCCATCGCAACGTCTTCGCAGTGGTGCAAACATATGCAATGCATTGGTCACCATGCTGGAATTAATTTTCTCCAGATTTTGAAAGTTACCTGGCTGAAGTATAACTCTGAAACGCTAGAAGTTCATTCTGGTCCTGAATGTGCCTGGTCCTATATGTGTCTTTATAATTTGCATGGTGGGAAAACCAGGAGGCTGGGGTCTCCCTGCCGCACCCGTAATGCACCCATAATGGTGTGATGCCGAAAGACTTGCAGACCTTACAGGTCTGCACGATTAAGAAAAGATGCCTGTGGGTATAACACAGGTAGGGACTGCGAGGCAGCAACAAGAAAGCAAGGCAAGGGCAGAGCAGTCATTGTGGAAAGCAACGTTAGGAAGGCCCACGCTCAAATGTACCCCAATTCCATCCAAACCACAGGGCTGCTGGCAGAGGCAGGTACTAAATTTGAACATGGATTTAAAACTGTAGCAACCCAGACAGGAGTGTCGGTGGTAATGGGAATTCTGCACTGTGGAACAACAAATGATCAGGTTTTAATACGTAGCTTTAATACTTTACTCAAACCAGGTGAATCTTTGCCAAGATCTGGTAATCTTTGCAAGCCTAAATGAGCTTTGCCTGCATTTCAACATTTCTTAACATTTTGAGATGGTTTAATCCTCGGATGTTTAAAAATGTCTTAAGAACAGGCTCACATTCGCATACATCTGCAATATGTTCCAGTTTGCCTTTTAATAGCTGTGTGCTTAATATTTTCTTTATTTTAAAGAGGAATTCAATGGCGATTTGAAAACATATTAGCATATTCCCTCTGTCCCCTGGATTCGATTAACATGACAGGTGGAAAATCAAGACATTATGACATCTGTTCTTCTGTCTAAAAATCAAGTACCAATTTATATTCCAAATGGTCTCAAATATTGACATGATAATTTATAGCATCTTTGAATGCTTCTCTATACCACTTAAAAATTCAGAAAGAACCTAATCTTGCCACAGTCCTTGCGACGCGCAGTGAAAGGCACGCTGTGAAAACTCGCTCAGCTCAAAGCTAGCCCTGTGACTGCAGGCAGAGTAGCAGAGCTCCCATCGCTGTTTTGATAACGCTTACAGGGTTTTTCATGTTGTCACCATGAAAGACAGTAAAAGTGTTAAAAAAGCGAGACTTGAAGGTTCAAATTCTTACCCTTCACAGAAAGTGAAACTTCGGTGTCTTTCCTTAGCAGCTGATACTTTCAATCCTTCCTGCACCTAAACATCAGCTAGAATTTTGCAAGTTAAAAGACAAGACAGGCTTGCAGAAACTTACCTGGCACAGTCAAACAAGGCCCACAAATACTACATGAGGCACATTTTAGAAAATACTTTTTATGTTTTATGTTTGTCTGTAAGTAAATGCAGCTACCCCCCCCCCCGGAACATTGTTGTCCTGTTTTTTTTTTAATTAACCAATTTAAACTACTGCTTTTCAATTGCACTTATTATTTCAGTAGTGTGGGACCAAATTCTTCTCTGATGTGACACTTTTGCTGTCAGCTGAGTTATATCATGGATTATAACTAGCTAGAAGTTAGCTGTTTGCAAAGCCAAGACCAGGTGAAATAATGAGTATATTATTCATTATTATCTGGATTTTGATAACCTCTAGAAACTCTGGACAAACTCAGATGAAAAGGTGGTTCCTGCCCTAAAGAATTCATATTTGAGTCATGCTGCATCCCTTCCTGTTCATCTTCTGTTTCTAGGGTTAGGCACTTAACGCCTAGCTCTTGCATAAGTCCTCCTACATATCTAAAGCCTCTTGCACCTTTTTAGTGGTTAAATATATTGCAAGCAGCAGGCAAACAAATTGGCTATGTGCACATTTCAAGTCGCTTTTTCTCTGATGACCTTCTTTCATGCTCTTTCACCTCTAAATTTAGCTAGCTACTGAAGCTAGCTAGCAGGTTCAGTGACACAGGAAATACTAATGCAGAAACTGTGGATAAGTGTTCTTCAAAGAACAGTACAGATTACGAGACAGCGTGATTACGATCCTGTAGCCAAATGAAGTTCATTTTATGAAACTGAACCCTTCCAAGGCTAATAAACCATAACAGACTTTTACTCACGACCAATACATGCATCACAAAAGCAAAAGCGTTACTCAAGGGCTGACACCCAGAACCTGGAAATCTCTTCCAGTTAACATTGCGGTGTCCATATTTGAACAGCTGCTGTTGTAACTGCCAGGCACAAGCGCACCACAGCCCTTAAATATGAAATTTGATCTTTTTAATAGCTGCCTCAGTAAGGAGAATATGCACAGAAAATGTTCAAGAATATGAAACAAAGTATTGAGAATTAGAAAAGTATTGCAAAGATACTGGGATTGTGATCAGGACAAGATGATGTAACTATACCAGGTTTAAGGAGACTGCAGGGTAGTTATACCTCTTTAAATTTTAGCTTGTTATTTTCAGATACAATAGATATGGTAAAGACAGGAAATGTTCTGTGTTGTTTTAGTGAGAATAATAACAACAGATTTGATATCCTGGATCAAATACATAAAATCTGATTAAGATAATAATAATCTCTGTGCTATGGGATGCTTTCAAGTTTTTAAGCATCTCTGTTTTGAGAAATCAGACTTCTAATGTTCCAGTCAAAAAAAATTCCCCCCTCTTTAAGAAAACAGCACAAGCACAGCCCAGAAGATTTGTTAATTCTTTCTTTAATAAAGCGGGCTAGATGCTCTTCCAGAGTAAAGATACAAAGTTCCACGACTAAATGAATACCCAGTCAAAATATGACACTGCCTTTCTGCTGTACATACAACTGACATGACATGCAAGAGATCTGAAACAATCATAAATTACAGATGTGAGATCCAGTCCAACAGTCTCAGATACATATCTTATCCCATTTTAGTTTTCATCAGTAATTTCCAATGCATATAATTTTCTATCTGGATATTCTTATCCATGAACATTATGAGCAGGCCATCTTTGAAGATAAAGAATAATCTTGCATTTTAAATGACAATTTCTTTCTCGGTATATTCCTACCATAAGGCAAGACAGGGTGATGATCTGACATTCTGTCTAACTCATAGGTTTCTGGCTTAATGACTATATAAAATTTTAACTAACTTCCCAGTATGATCAAGTATCAGAGAATATTTATTCGAGATGTGGAAGGACATGGTGTAACCAAAGTGGATTCATCTATTGCAATTCACTCTAATCTCATCCGTATAATCATCTCTCTTCTCCTGGGGATTTTATCATATTCCATGGCATCACGGGCATTCAGCTCATTGGTATTCACTGATTAGTGAAAACTTGTTAGACACTCCACAATTTTTTATACTTTTAGCACTGCTTTAAAATATGCAATATTAAAGATATAACTAACTTACAAAAATAAAAGAACTGTATAAATCACACTTTTATTGGCAATGAGACTGCTCAAGAAAATTACAATGTGATCCCTGAAACAAAAGACCAGAACAAAAATTGAAAAAATGATTCTTAAAAAAATAAAAAAGTAAAAACATTTTCCCCTGCTAAAGTACTGGAATCTTGGAAGGCTTATGTATCACAGAACATAAAACTTTGCTTTTCCCTCTGTCTCCATAATATTTCTTCCCTCTTTCCACAGGTAGCTCTTGAACAGACTGTTGTTGAGGTGGCACAAGCCTTGCTGAATGGGTTGAAGGCTAGAAAAGCTTGAAAAACCTAAATAAATCAGCAGCCACTGATTTAATCTCCTGACATTCATGCAAGCTCAGGGAAATAAAATAAACCTGAAGACAGACACGCATGTTGAATTCTGAACTGATCTTCCATCAAGCTTAAAACTAAACCAAAATAAACACCTCTCCAAAATGTTATGCATTTAATATCTTTCATCTAAATAAACAGTCATCTGACTGTTCATATCAGCCTGTCACACAGATGTATGATGCTATGCCTGCTCATAACATTCTAGTATTTTATCATTTTACAAGGCACATATCATCTCAGAAGAATTACATGGTGGCTTTTCAATATATAAGGATATGGCAGCTACTATGTAATTACAGGACAATTATTTTTTCATTTCAGTCACTGACACTCAGACCTTGTAAAATTTAAGACCAGCAAACTACATGTCACCTCATCTTGAAACACTCTACTTAACTCCATGTACAATTACAGACTAATCAGCAAATAACTACCATTTATTAATTGCCTATTAACATAAGCTTTGCCATGCAATTACAAAGTTATTGCATGGTGTACTGTATATGTAGCTTAAAATTAAATAATACAGTTTTTTTTTGCTGTTGTTATAAATAGAGTAACTTTATAGCATTCTTTTATATGGATAGTTCTATGTAGGTCCAGAAAGAACAGGTTTCCATTTAACACTAACTTCTTTTTGTGAATTCCAAAGAGTTTAAAGGGATCAGTGAGTACAGAAAAAATCTTATCTACTTAAAAAAATTTTACTAGATGTACTATGTACTTGATGGGAAAGAAATATACTTTTCCATAGAAGAACAAGTTACAGAGTTCAGCAGAAACTTTGTTGGTTAACGTTGCTGCACCGTTATCTTTTTTTTTGACTAGAAATGTAGACATCATACAGGCATGTTTGTAAACAGAATCTATAGATAATAGTAATGAGACATAAAGTGCTTTTAATTATGAATATTTCATATCTCTTTGCACCCTTCCCTGGTAAGTTATCATACTCAAGCTAGTTTTAGTTCAACTGGCTCAGGTCTACACTATCAGATACTGTAATTTCCCTTGCACCTACTGTTTTAATCATAATAATCTCAGTAAAGGCCAAAATTAATTCATGTCAGGGAGAGTAAAAGTAGTCAGACATAATGAGGAGAAGAGGTACACTGAAACTTCTGATGGGAGAAAAGAGTAGGCAAAGGGAAATTAGGCTCTGTTGTCTAGGTCCCCATCCTCAAGGAATTTGTAACAGATGCTACTTTAACACAGTGTTGAGGAACAATTAAAAATGGCACACAGACCTGTGCCTCTAACACACCTCAAGTTACTGGCGGATGAAACTGAAGAAACTAGGAGTCCTCAACCGAGAATAAGCCTGGTGTCAGGATGATGCTTTTAATCTTTCTGATATACATGCCCTATTTTGCTAAGCATAGTCTCTGCAGAGAGAGTACCCTTTCCCCCTCAGAAAACCCAGTCTGGCATATGTTGCAAAAGGAAGTTATTAAATCTGGCTCGTCTTTGCCACCTCAGGTCTGATGCCAAGTATCTATATATTTCCTAATTCATTATAGCACTCAGCATATACTATTCTATGTACCAGGAAAGCGACAGTTCTACAGTAATCAAGCTCCTAAGGTAATTCTATAACTAATTATAACTGTATATTAGAACTGGGTTTTACTGGATTTTTACTTAAGGCAGACATTAAAAGGTATGCATTCTTTTGATGAGTTGCAACCAAATTTATTAATTAATTTATTTTTAATCCAGGCTGTTGGGAACTGAAGTGGGTTACCTTTATCTACTGCCTGTCCTTCTAATCCAAAGAATCATCCAGCCCCTGGAATCAAAGCAATCTGAGCTGAGGTGTAACAACTGACCTCACAATCTGTCCCCACCTGTTTCTTTAGAGGTCCAGGGGGCTGACAATAGTAAAATCAGAATCTTTACTGTTATTACTACTGTCATCGTCAGGGCTGGAGCTCAGATTACTGGAGGAGGCTGAAATGGAGCCCATCAGCGGATCAGAGAATATCAAAGAAGAACGAGATGGAGCTTCCTGCTTCACCGGTGCCTCCTTGTGTGTCGGAAGGGACTGCGTTGGCTCTTGGGCAGTGTTTCTATTTCCTTCCTCTTCTTTGGAAATCAGAATATAGTCATCAGCACTCTTACTTTCACTAGTGCTTGAGTCAGTTGTAGTCTGCAAGATAACAGTACAGAAAGGGCTTAGTTAGTACCACTTTTACCATTTAAGAAGGTTTATGACACACACCAGTAACTCTGGGCATGGCATACAGGAATAATCATTATCTAAAAGTAGCACAGCCCAAATCAAGAAGTATACAATAAAGTATTAACTTCAGATGAAATAATTTATTTGTTATTTACAAAAGTATACAAGCTAACACTTCAAACGTACATTCTGGAGATAGGAGTCTCATTTCATTATCATAGTACTTCCATGTAGTGATCACGGTGGCTAGGCATCTAATACACCCGTTATGGTGTTATATTCAGACTGTTATTACTTTTCTATGGCCATTCACTAAGCAGTATTACAGAAATTTTTGCTCTTTTACATGTAGAATGGCACTTTGCAGCTCTTCTGGAGAATGGCTTGATATAAAATTTCCTAATAAAACTCTGATCTGTGGAGTCTGAGCTACACATACATCTGGCTCAACGACTTGCATTCAGGAGATCAGTGCTCCCCGGGCTTCCTGACTCAGTGCTGTGGGGTGAGGGGCTAAGCACTTCTTAACTCCACCAGAAAACTAGATTCCAGGAACCCCCTGCTCTGCCTGGTTGGACCCCAGGAATGTCTCTGCTCCTGAGACTCCAGAAGTGGAATAAAAGCACATGTCAAAATGGCAACAAATTCTCTGTGAACTGGGAATCTTATATTTAGACTAGCTGTATTCCGGAGAAGCCCAGTTTTTCAACATAAAGAACAAAATATAATTAGGAGGCAGGACTGCCTCCTAATTAGGCAGAGTGGGAATTCTCTTTTGCTGACAAAACTGGCAGCCTATTAGCAACCCGAATGGAAAACAACTTCTATTTTCTTCTGCAAGAGATGGATTTATCTCCTGTCCAGCACTGCTGAAACCAATATATTTGATCACACTAACGCAAGACTGAGAAAAGGGAGAAGTTGTTGAGGGGCAGCTGGAGAAATGTGTCCGTCAACATGTGTGTCAAATACAAGCCCTTCAGTTCTGACTCTTTCACCAAACAAAAAAACATAAATTCACTTTGGAGTAAAAGAGAGATAGGAAGTATTAGTCAGAGAGAAAAGGGAGCATTAGCAAAAAAGAAGAACGGGGAAGAGTCTGAGTGAGATAAAGTTAGTCCCACAGCACAGTATATAAAATTATGGAGGTCATCACAGGTACTCTGTTATGAACAAAGTTCTACCATTAATGAGAAAAAAAATCATACCCTGCTCTTGTTATTCGTCTTTAGAATTCATGGCACTACTGCCGTGAGAGTTTCTGGTTATTTGGGAAAGAAGATTTAATCTATTGAAGGTTACCCTGCAATCAGTTGTGCCAAATATATGGCAGATTTTTGCATAAATTAATCAAAGCAGTCACCTAGTACAGCTTCAGATATACTATGGAGGCAAAGATAGAAACACTTGAGCTAAGGCTAGTTTCAAACCTGCTCTTAAAACCGAATCTAAAAATTTCAGCCTCAGATGCTATTACTTGATTTTGTCTCCGAGTCTCCTTCTCTGGCAATCACTTTAAACAGAATTTCATATCAAGAGCGCCTGCAAGCCCAACTTGGATTTAAGCTGTCCATGGCCTCCAGCAAAACTTTTTACCACATTTATTATTACATCTGAAAGCCATTTTCCATTCCCCAGATTACTAATTACAGAGCAGAGTATTCTTGAAAGGGGTTTGTAGAGCTGCTTAGGGAGCAAAACCCACCAGTCATAAGAACAAACTGTAGTAGAGAGATATAAGTTTTTGGTTATTATTTACACAGTTGTTTCAAATTGTTAAAAGCCACAAACAAGATAAATATCACCTGAATGTGAAAACACATTCAAATACAGAATTGTGACTTGCTTACTTAAAAATTCTTATGAATGGGGATTCAGATATTTCCACTGCAGTAATTTTTAAAATATCCTCTTTATAACATTTATAAAAATGTTTTTTCATGTTATTTACATGGTGCCTAAATAAAATAATGACTATTATCGTCTTTTGTAAATAACCCATTCTAATACTTCCTCATTCCCAGGGAAGTATCTGAAGTCCAGAGCACTGGTTACAATTTTAAATGCTCCCAGTATGAGACAGCTGTCAGACTGATACCAATTTTACATCTGTTATTCCTCAGCACTTACTTATTTTCCTCAAAAGACTGTTATTCTTCAACACTTACTTATTTTCCTCAAAAGACTTTATAGAATTCATGTAAACGTAACCTAGCAGATTACTTTTAAAAATATCAACAACTGTCCAGTATTGAATGCTAAACTCAATCTTCCTGTACTGTACAGAGCCAGCGTAGCTCAAATGACAACTACCGAGTAGTTCAAAAGTGAATAAACAATTTTAATTACTTACCGTGAAGTTAAAACCAAACAGATTTTCCCTACCAGGAGAGATACTTCACTATTTAAGCACTTCTGATCTAAGACATCATTCATTGTTAATTAGCATTTTGCTTTCATCTGATCTATTTGAACTACTGTCCTCATTAGCTGCCAGCTCATCAGCTGCCACCTCCAGGAGCCAGAAGATGCAGGCAGCGTGCAACCACGGCTCTGCTCCAGCACGGTGCTAGCAGGCGGCTGACTGATTTTGTGGACAAGACGCGGCCAGTGAAGCTCTGCTGGGAGCTCTAAATGCCCCTTCAAAATTTCCCTGCTTTTTTTTCCTCTGTGCAACAGGAATCCAGTTCCTTTAAGCAACAACCATTGACATAATTCACCTGGCTTCTTTTCACACTTCTGTTTAAAAGCTCTCGATGAACACATTGCAGTTGTCTTTTGCAAAACTATACACTTTATTATTCCAAGCTACTAGGATCTCACTGTTTCAGCACTCACAACCCTCACATCCGAGAGGGCTTCACCTTTCACAGGGCGACAAATGTGTTACCTAGCGGCAGCCTCTCCCTGTGTGGTTGGTGTCTTCCCCGCTGGCATGGCCAAGGACGGCTAACAGGTTGAATGCCTTCTGGCAGTGAACCCCAGCAAGAGCCCACAGTCTGCTTCAAAAAATGTGCACTTGCATAGTTAAAAAATTCCTGCCCTCTAATAAGAGGAAAGCAAAAGAAACCACTCACCCCAATTTCTTTCCATTAGCGTTGTGCTTTGAAACACTGTTTTTTGTTCCACCCATGTTTTTTGGCTATTGATTAAGAACAACTATATCTCACCGAAGTATCAGAAAAGCAGCAAAGAATATATATGGATTCCAAAATGATATCAAAGGGCTTGCTGCAAATGTTTGCCTACGCCTAGAATACACTGGTATTTTGGTAGTGACATTTCCAGAGGTAAAATACCTCACCCTTCTTGTTCTGCCCTTTTCTGTTTCAGGAAACTCATGCTGACGTGAACCATGTTTTCTCCCATCTGCTGCCACTACTGAATAAATGAAAAATGACAGAATTATACTTCCAGTAGCTTTGAAAGTTAACAACCTTACGCCCGTTGCCATATGGCTTCTCCAAACATTTTTTCCTGATGAATATCAGCTACTACTACCAGGCTTATTCCAATTGCCTTCATACTGTGAGTTAAAACGCACCATAAGAATACAATTCAAGTAAGCTTAGAAGAACAGCAGCTCATTTTGCCTCCTTCTTTGAATCAACATAAAGGCAAGATAACGTGTTAATTATCATTCGTTATTTAGCAACAGAAGCCTTCTGTTTGTCAACTGTGCACTGCGACTAAAGACAAACATTCTAACAAATGCTGTACTCCTTTGAGCCTTTTTCTTGTTTTTCGCATTTTTAGTTCTCATCTTTCCAAATAAGCACTGTATCTTTATCCCTACTTTCTCAGAAAGGACATTGAGATGAAAAAAGAGGAAGAACACTTTTAAAATAAATGAAAGATGATAAATACCTTGTACTTATATAACAATCAAGAAAAAAAGACCAGATTTCAATTTCGATTACACCAGAGTAAAACACCTGTAACTTTTCCAGCAGTCCTAGAAATATACCTATAATTACGCCAGAGTAGAATTTCTACAAAGTAAGTCATATGAAACAAAATTACACACATTTCCAAAGTCACAAAAAACGTAAATATGGTAAAATTTGTTTAGTAAGAAATATATTAAATGAGCTAGAAATGGCTAGAGATTTTTAAGCCTGCAGCTCTTGGAAGAGCCTCCTCACTTGACCTAGAGGCTTGACCTACAACCCATCTTCCTCATTAGAATAAAAGGTTGCGCTGTGGTCCAATTTGGTGGAAATTGCCCCTCTCCCAACAATTAACAGTCTCACTTCACAGCCTACTAAATTTAGCAATTTTATCTTCCTTTTTATTGCAAGGTGTTGTCAAAAGCTGTTCTCTTTTTATTTTAAATGCTGCAGTCCAACTGGCTGGGTTCAGACACGGCGCAGAGTGGCGGGATGCTAACCCTCCTCCTGGACTGCAATGCTGCTTCCTCCCAACGTGCAGTTCTAAACCTAATCTTTTATTTTTCTCTCTGTAATAGGCTGTTGCTCATTATCATAATTGGAACTTCCAGAAGATAAGATTAGAGAAGGCTAATCAGTATGAGTGTACTGTATCTGCAAACATAAACCACATAGCGCTGAAGCCTCATTAAGTGCTCTGCTAGCTCAGATCCTACAGCCTTCACTCACATCGTTCACAGTTCCCTCACAAGCAGTCTCACAGGGAACAACATCTAAATTGTGGGACCCACAAATCCTCCTCTGGATGTATAATCTGACTCCTCTCTGGGGTGAGACCTCATTACACATCACCTCCCCACCCAAATTTCCACTGGAAAAAAATCTGCACAGGCACGGAGGTGTGCCTCACCTGGTCCGCTCCGAATACTCCACGTGCAATGCCTCAGCCCTGCTGCTTAGTGACACACATGTGAGTAAGGCCTTCTTCAGCACGAGTAAGGTTTGCACACACTAATTCATCAGGTTGTTGTTTCATATTACATTACATTTTCCAGTTTCTATAATAAATCCAAGTTAAAATTGCCAAAAAAGTACTATTTGCCATTTCAGTGCGAAAGCAAAAGACACTTTTGTGTAAAACGCAGGGAAATAAAAGGCAAAAACAGGAAGTCATTATATGAGCACTCCGATATGCTACCAGCAGTGTTTAACCTATGCCTTTAATATGGCAGAAACTCCTGACTGTAATGACAAGATAAAAGAGGAACTACGTTATAGTGAAATTGTTCTCTCTGAACCTACCATTAATATGTAAAATAACGAATTAAAATACAATTGCAATATGATTTTTAACACAAAATATTCTAACTCAGGGGGATTGTGCACAATAAATCAAAACAATCTACGTCACTATTCGAAAATGAAAAAATATTTCTTCTATTTTCTAGGTAAACTTGTTAAGAGAAAACTGATTGCAAACTCAGTTAGACCGAGGTGATAGTGTTGCCACTGGTTCACATGTGTGAGCGTTAGTATTGACAGTGCAGACTTAACTTCAGAACATTAATACTGAGAATTATATAGAAATGTGCATATTGAAAAGTTATTTGTTTTTAAGATCACATCTGAATTAGACTAAGTCTTAGACAGAGAGGTACCACCTATGCATACCTTTTAACATGAAGGAAAAAACCCTCTTTGTGTGTGAACTTATCCTGTAACCGTTAAGTTTTGTATGCAAAAACTGTGTTTACTGAGTCAAGGAGAAAGTCAATACAAAGAACTCCTACCAAGGAAATGGAGCAGAAGGTAAAAGTAACCTCCGAGCTATTTCCTTTTTGGCACTTAACATGGATACACTGCAATGCAGATCATCAGCTGTTACATAATGGAATTCTAGAGGACAGACAATGAGAATAAATCAGCTGACACGGGAACATTTACCTCCAGTTTTTACATCTTTTTATATGAAACTGACTTGCTAAGAAGCATTCAATGACTGAAAAAAAGACCCTCCCCTCCAAACTGTGTAACACTTCAACTTAACTACCTGTGTGTGGAGCATAAGCTTGCACTAACAAAATCAGTGGGAGCAGGACAGTAGTTAGAGAGAAACTTTTAAGCACAGCTCTACATGCACGAGCACCCTGGGTTTCTGGTGGGAGTCTGAGCGCTTACAGTTCAAACCACCGCTTAGCAAGAAATAAATTGTGCTTCTGACTGAACCCTGCTTCTTTTACAGGAGAGGTGTGCTGGAACTGGTGTATTTCCATGAAAATGTCTGGACACACTAAAGGAAGTCTTCAAAAACATAAGACTAATCCCACCAAAGGCCTGTTGGAGATATTTGTATCTTACCTGACGTCCTGGGATGAACTGTTGCTTTGTCATAACAGATCCCTTCAGGACATCACTTGTCCCCTTGTTCTGACTGTTGGAACAGTAGTGGTCATCTGCTATCGTGATTTGCTCATTTTCTTCAGCTTCCAGTTGGCTCTGGTTGAAACGCAAGGAACCTTTCAGAATATCCTTGATCTGTTGTTGAACGGGAGGGCAAAGAATGTAAGTTAGAAACTTGGAAGAATTCTAAATTTTCTGAAGCTCAGTGCAGAATGCTTTCACACATCATTTTTCCATAATGTTTGCTTTGAAGAGATAGGAAGCAAGTCAATGTTGTTACCTGCATTAGTTAAAGATATAAATGTCAGTGAAATGTGATCGTATCAGATTTTGGAAAACAAGTATCCAAGAAAGTTAAAAAGAACAAAACTGCTAAGATTATTCCCTACCTCACACTTGTAGATTTAACACATCACATAGTTCCTGACTAAATGTATTTCAAGGCTCAACTCAGTAGCATTCTCATTTTAAGTTTATAGCAATTTCTTTTCACTGAATGACATTCAAGTGTTATTACATTTACATAATGTGGTCAGAAGCATGTATTACATGCTTAGTATGCACATTTTGCATTAAGAAAAATGATGGTGTGGTTAAAGCCCAGAACTTGGAAATGCACTACCTCAGCTCTTTGATATTGCCACAACTTTTCAGGGAGTAAATGTGCAAGTCATTTGAACTCCTTGCAGCTTAGTTTCACCTTCTAAATAAAAGTACTCCGCAATGCCTGATACATTAGTATTCGTAAAACAGCTACAACAGAAGACAAAACAGTAGCATAAAAAAAAGAATAAAAAAGGAGAAAAAAGAGAAAGGATTAATAGCACTGTGGGATACAAGAAGGTTAAGTTAATCAACAGTTATACCTGCTTCAAACCAGCCAGGGAAACCAGAATTTCATCTTCTTTTTCCAAGTGTTCTTGTAATATAACTTCCTGAATATTTCCTGCAACATCAAAAAAAGAGAAATCTCCTGAATAATCTCCAATGTACTGCCAACTTACAGTGGACTTATGTTCTCAGAACCAAACCCTGTGACTTGCTAACACATTTTCACACATCAGCCTAGACACTGACAACTTCACTAGTTGTGTGGATTAGGTCAGTCAAAGCCTGTCACTGCTGTCAAGACTCCTACAATAATGCCATGCTGCTGCTGGACTTCTATTGCCTGAATGTACCAATGGACTCTTGCTCTGTTGGTCCCTAGAAGACAGTTTGGCCTCTACAGCTCACAGAGTTGCATACATGTTTGATTCCATGAATGCTTCGGAAGCTCTCAAGAACGTTTACAGGAATCTGCTGAGCTCTTGGGATGGGTTAAGGTAGGAGTGCAGTAATTTTAGTCCAGATCCTGTGGCCTCTGCAGATGCTCTTGTTTTATATAAAAAGACTGAAAGTGCCGTTCCTTATCTGACCCGTTATATTAAGTAAAAGACCCAGGGCTGAGCAAAACCTCACCTCTGACAGAAAGAGTAGTATAGTACTGGCACTTTAGAAGACCTGTCTTCCATACCTATGGAGCTGTCCTGCAGGACCACACTTCGGTATGCTGGTATATGGTGCTTGCTGGGGTCAGGGCTGGAGGCTGGCTAACACATCAGAGATGGACCTGTGACACATCATTTTGTGAAAATTCCAGGCAAAGCTGTAGGCCAAACTAGCCCATAGCTCAGATAGCTCTGCAGACTCTTTTAAGCCACATTAGGTCGTTCCCCAGGCTCCTAACTCCTCCCTTCCTCCTCAGTTCTCTGAGAAACAGCAGCGATTCTCAGCAACTCCTTTACAGACTGAGATGGAATCTGTCAACTGAGGATGAAAGGACATGCTTTTGTGCCACTCCTGTCTTACATGCATAGAGCTAAGTACAAATACTTCAGTGACATTCACTTGGGAACAATGCTTTGCTGGCCTGAATCCAGTGTCGCAGGTGCTAAACAACTGGAGCTTTGTATCTTTAATCCACACATGTTGGTTTTGTTTGTTTTTAAACATATCCTACCTGTTGTCGGACCAAACCAGTGCAGAGCAAAAAACATTGTTACAGGTTATGCTGACAAAGATGAATATGATGCTGCTGACAACTTTGACATAACATCAGGTTTCAAGGAAAAATATTGAGCAATTTGGCTTAAGTTTTGTGTTTACAGAATAAATGCAAAAGCATGAGATGAAGGAGGCTGGAGAAGGAGAAGACAGATTACAAGGAGAAATGTGGATTTAAAACTTACGTATAAAGACAGAAGTTTGAAATTATGGATGGGCGAGAAAATTTAGTTGGTATAAATGCAGAAAGGGCAAGGAGGGGAGAAGATCCAAGACTAAAGAAGTGAATAAAAGAGGTCAGAGCCAGAAAAGGAAGCAGAAGATAAGAGCTCAGGAAAGGATGTAATCAAGGTTAAGGGCAACAGTGGGGGTAGGATACCTCAGCTTTGCGCTGGCAGCCTATCTGAACAAGAAGATCCAAGTTTACATTGTTTAGCACTTACATATGTAACTGTATGAATTGACAGAAAGCAAAGTTAATTCACCAGTGTTTTTTTTTTTTACATTTTACATCTTAATTGTCTATCTCTCAATTTGTTTAATAAAAGATAATAGTATTTGCTGGCAAGTTTTAAAATGTGTTATTTACAAAACTGCTACTTTAAATCTTGACTTCTATTGTTTAACAACCAGTGCATTATTTTCTACTTTTGAAAGGTTCAGAACTTTGAACATCAGAAGTCCAAAGTCCAAGTCTTCCGGGGCAGGTAAATAATGTTTAATCAAAACCTGAGTCACTGAATTCTACCGTCTTTTCCATTTCTCAGCATTAAAAAAATTTATATGATCCCCACAGATATTAAAAGTATGCATTAAAAGCTCAGCTTTGCATAGCGACTAAGCAGATGGAGCAAGAAAATAACTCAAAACATACCTCACATCTATTAAAGACCAAATGTGGGAAATTTAAAATATCAGGAAAAAAAGAGTGTACAAAAGCTGAAAGTCATTCTATATGATGTGGAAATAATCTACTATTATTTCTCTTCTTTATAGGTATATTTTAAGACAGTACTTCAAAAGAAAGAAAAAGAAAACATTGTTTCTATATAAAAGAGCTGTAAGTGTGTTTGAATAGCCAGTATAATGAGAAATTTCTAACAACTTATAAACAGAGCTATGATAGTTAGCTAGCAGTAAAAATTAATTAAAATGTTCGTATCATCACATATTTACTTTAGCAAGATTAACAACAGATTTCAACACTAGTCTCAGGGAAAAAAAAGATTAAGAGAGAAAAGACTGGAAATACAGTAAGATTTTCTGATCATGAACTAAGTTGATCTTCTAAAGTTATTGCTTGAATTTGCAGTTTGTTTTAAGGTGCAGTATGGCACATCTTAGATATATATTGCTTATTGTTTTTAATCAGTTCAAATGATTAAGAAGTATTTTGGAAAAAAAAAAAACTTCACTCAGTTTGCTCTAAAACAAAATTGTAGACTCAAGGAATACCCTTCTTTTTAACATAGGAAAATGTGCCAAGATGCAAATCACTATAATCAACCACTTTCCCCCTGCAAATACGTAATAGGTGAGATGCAAGGTCATAGAGTGGAATTTCTTTCAGTAGCACAAGGATAGAGAATGAAAGTTTTTCCCTATGGATTTTCTCAATGGACTTTTCTTTTTCCAAGTGTTCCCTTGCAGTGTAAATCGCTGCCAATCTACTACCCTCATCCCCCTTGAATGCACAATTTATTATCTATCAAATATGATAAGTAAATGATAAGTATGGAACCCACATTTATCAGTGCTTACTCTCCTTTTCCCCTGGCTAATGAACAGAGAGGAAAAAAAAATTTTCCTTAGAAAAAAGGGTAAAGACCACCTGATTTTGCAGGAGTGCCTCTGCAGGCTCATCCTCCTGTTAGGACCACCCTTGACGATGCATTTGGGCTGGAACCAGAGGTAGGAGGAAGAGGAGGGAGGGTAACTGACTTGGTACGCACCTCCACAGCCACGTTTCGGGGAATAGCTGGGGCCAGGGGCCCAGCAGTCCTCACCTGGCTGGCTTTCATCTGAGCCTCGTCCCACTCCCGGGGACACCTTGCAGGACAGGCAGTTTTAGCGCTGAGATGAACAAGGAAACTAAGCTCTCAAGTGCAGACAAAAGCCTTTGCCTTATGTTACTCTATCATACCTCAAAAGGTACCTTTATAACCGAAAACACTTCAAAAATACTAGATCTGTTAGGAGTGCTAAGGAAGTAGTACGTCTGATATGATATTGCTCAGCTGAAGGACCTTCATATTAACTGAACAGTTGTACCAATTATTCTTCCTTCACAAGAGATGTTACGATGTTTTCTGAGAAACTTATGTGTATGAACAAATTGGTCATATATTGATTTTTTTCCCTAGCGGTTTCCTTATCTGATGGCTTATAATAACACCTCACAGTTTGAATTAATACTTTTTCATAAAATAGTATTTTTTCATAAAACAATAAACAACAACTTTTTAAAGCAACAAAAACAACTTTTTGAAAAAAAATAATGCAGATATCGAGTAGGAACTGAGAACACCTTCCTGCCTGTAAAACAGACACTGACATGACGAATCAACAAAATTGATTATGTGGCTTTCAGATTATTCAAAACCCAATTCACTCTGATTCTATGCTACAAGCATCAAACTTACTGAGATGGCTCTTGTCATTCAAAAGCTTACAAAATTCCAACTTAAAGTATCATTGAATTCAACTAGTTGTGACTAGATTTGTTTGTTTTTTTCTTTTAGCAAAATTTCATTTAGCTGATGCCAAATGCTTTCCAGAGATTTCTGTTTCAGTGAAGTTCATCGCAGAGGAAGACAAAGGGTGAATTCTGCATCCCATCCCTGATTGTCAGAGCACTGCTGTGAGATGCAGGAGATCCCAGACACACACGTTACATGGCTCTGGATTTGTTTCAACACAGCACAAACAAATGTATAAGTTTCACAAAATGAACTGGCAAACCTTAGTTGTACTCTTCAGAAACACCAGAGCCATAAAAGCCGTTACTCTTTTCAGAAGTCAGCTACATTATCCACTACTGAGGCTGCCCACAACCAGGACACATAAGCTAATGGACAAATTTTATATAAGTGTTTAGAAATAAGTTTGGAAACTCATTGTCAAATGAGCAAATTCCCTTAAGTTTGACAGATACTGGACCAATTAATCAATAACTATTTCCTGATTAATACTGTGATAGATGGCCTGGATATACTTTAAAGCCAATTGTAGCTACACAGGAATAATATGCAAATGCTTGCATTTTTGTTCTTCTTTTCTACAAAACACAGAAAACAAGGTATCATGTACTGATCTGGGTAACAAGAGGCTAGCTGAAATAGCTGATGCATTAATATGAAATGTATTTTTCATTTCCCACTCTTACACTTATCTCAAATTATATATAACTTCACACAAACATTCACCGAAATAGTAGTTATTTAAAAAAAATCCAGATTTCTATTTCTTCTCCCTAACTTAATTTCTAAAATTTAAACTCTTGAAGATATCTCATCGTTCTGTGCCTAAAGACGAAAGAGCAGAATTATCCACAGCAGCTTGTAGCAGTAAAATTAGGGAAGGCTTATGCTCTTTGGTGACTGAAGGGCTACACATTGCATGATGATGTGCACAATCACTGCTGACTTCCTTAGCCAGGGAAAGTGGCTGTAAAAACTTTTATAATTAGAGGTCAAATTTCCTCTTTGAATGTTGAAAAAGTGGTATGTTCAGCCTAATTATTTTAGTTGCCTATTAAATCAAGTAACTGATTCACTGAAAATTTTGCAGGCATTCAATAAAAAAAAACCAACAAAAACCCATCAGAACTGTGTTAAATGAAGACAGGCAGTGGCATTAGCGGGAAAACTAGTCTGTAGGAGACAAGGTCTTCTCAGGCAT